CTGGAGCGGATGTTAAAACAGAAGCAAAATCATCCCAAAAATTCAGAGATAGAAAAATAAAAAAAGAAGAAAAACAACATAGCAGAGAAATGGAATTGAAATTAGGATTGAGACAGAGAACTAGAGCTAAGAAATTATAGACAGTTAGGACAGAAGAACTAGAATAGAGTACCTGGAAGAGAGAACAATATAGAGATGGGGATAGAAAGAACGTATTATAAATACACTTATTGACCCTCAAATTTTAGTTCCTTTTGCTTATCGTGGCATCTTTATTTTGAACCCTAGGAGGAAATCTTAGAGGCTGAACTTTTAAGGTTTCTGTGGCTTTAAGGTCTTGTGGCTTTGGTTAAGCTGTCAGTCAGTTGGTTTTTAAAACTTGTCTGTTTCTCCCCTGATCAATTTTTCTGTATTCTTCCCCACATCTTGTGGATATTTGCCCTCAGAAACATCTTTAAATACCAGGTCTAAGTTAGCATCTCATTCTATCAATCTTACATTTCCTCAGGGTCACCTTGGCTGAAGTAAAAATATATTTAGGATCAGCCACTCACTCATATTTTATTGCTAATAATGTCGTATCATAGGGTCTGAACAATCTGATCAGCAACTAAAAGCAACAACTGCTCATTTACAGGGCCTGGCTATGATTACAAGCATGCAAAAGAAAGCTGACAACTCCCTGGAACTTCAGCAATGGAGCATGTGACACCATCTTCTGGTATCCCCTGGTACCTGACAATCATTTGTTATGCACAGTTGCAGGACTTATACACATAAATTAATTATTTAAAAATAATATGTACATGAAGAAAACCTTTATAACAATCTGGAATCACAAATATATTGATATTTTCAACATTTGCATTTCTGGTTCCCTAAAAAGCCAGAAGTGGTATCAGATTTCTTAAACCTGACAAGTTATTTTTTTAAATTTAAAACAATATTATTTTACACACCAATCCCAGCTCTCTCTCATCCTCTTGTTTCCCCCATTTTCTCCTCACCCCACCCCATCTACTCCTCTGACATGATGAGACATCCCACAGGGAGACAACAAAGTTCGTCATAACACTTGAGGCAGGACCAAGGCCCTCTCCCCTGTATCTAGGCTAAGTAAATATCCCTCCATAGGGAATGGGATCCAAAGAGCCAGTTCATACATTAAGGATAAATACTGGTTCCACTGCTAGTGGCCTCAGAACAAGCCAAACAACTGTCACCCAGAGGGCCTAGTTTGGTCTTATGCAGGTACCCCAGCTGTCAGAGCAGTCAGCAAGCTCCCACTAGCTTGGGTCAGCTCTTTCTGTGGGTTTTAGCATCACTGTGTTGGCCCCTTTGCTTGTAATCCCTCCCTCTCTATGCCTGGACTCGAGGAGTTTGACCGGTGCTTAGCTGTGGATCTCTGCATCTGTTTCAATCAGCTACTGGATGAAGGTTCTATGATGGCCCTTAAGGTAATCATCAATTTGATTACATTTAGGTACTCTATACACTACTGCTTAGATTCTTAGCTGGGATCATCCTTGTGGATTCCTGGGAATTTCCATAGTACCTGGTTTCTCATTAAGCTCACAATGGCTTCCCTTTTCAAGGTATGTCTTTCCTTGCTCTCCTTCTCTGTCCTTCACCCAACTTGACCTTCCCAATCCCTCATGTTCTCCTCCCTATGTCCCTTCTCCACTCCTCACTCCCCTACCTCACTAATTGGGTTATTTTCTTGCTTTGTTAATTTCTTTCCTTTAAAAGTGTTTTAACTATGTTCATGTGTTTTAACCTGGACCATGGTGTCTATTATCTACTTTTTCTATGTGAGCTCTACAGAGGAAACCCAGTTAGTCATCTGACTGCAAGTGGTCTTAATGGTACTTATTTGGGTTAAACGGTTATTTTTGTTTGAGGTGGATGGGAGTATACAGATGCAACAGACCAACTGCAGAAATAAGAAATAATTTTGTAAACCCAGGATAGCCAAAACAATCCTATACAATAAAGGATCTTCTGGAGGCATTACCATCCCTGACTTCAAACTCTATTACAGAGCTACAGTAATGAAAACAGTGTGGTACTGGCATAAAAACAGAGAAGTCGACCAATGGAATCGTATAGAAGACCCGGATTTTATCCCACAAACCTATGAACACCTCATTTTCGATAAAGGAGCTAAAAGTATACAATGGAAGAAAGAAAGCATCTTCAACAAATGGTGCTGGCACAACTGGATGTCAACCTGTAGAAGAATGAAAATAGACCCATATCTATCACCATGCACAAAACTCAAGTCCAAATGGAGTAAAGACCTCAATATCAGCCCGAACACACTGAACCTGATAGAAGAGAAAGTGGGAAATACCCTACAACAGATGGGCACAGGAGATCGCTTCCTATGTATAACCCCAGAAGCACAGACATTAAGGGCAACATTGAATAAATGGGACCTACTTAAACTGAGAAGCTTCTGTAAAGCAAAGGACATGGTCACTAAGACACAAAGGCAACTTACTGACTGGGAGAAGATTTTCACCAACCCCACAACACACAAAGGTCTGATCTCCAAAATATATAGAGAACTCAAGAAACTAGACTTTAAAATGCTAATTAACCCAATTAAAAAATGGGGCACTGAACTGAACAGAGAATTCTCAACAGAAGAAGTTCAAATGGCCAAAAGACACTTAAGGTCGTGTTCAACTTCCTTAGCAATCAGGGAAATGCAAATCAAAACAACTTTGAGATATCATCTTACACCTGTCAGAATGGCTAAAGTCAAAAACACCAAGGATAACCTTTGCTGGAGAGGCTGTGGAGGAAGGGGTACCCTCATCCATTGCTGGTGGGAATGCAATCTTGTGCAACCACTGTGGAAGTCAGTGTTTCGGTTTCTCAGGAAATTCGGGATCAACTTACCCCTGGACCCAGCAATACCACTCTTGGGAATATACCCAAGAGATGCTTTATCAAATGACAAAAGCATTTGTTCAACTATGTTCATAGCAGTATTATTTGTAATAGCCAGAACCTGGAAACAACCTAGATGCCCTTCAATGGAAGAATGGATGAAGAAAGTATGGAATATATACACGCTAGAGTACTACGCTGCGGTAAAAAACAATGACTTCTCTAATTTTGCATGCAAATGGATGGAAATAGAAAACACTATCCTGAGTGAGGTGTCCCAGACCCAAAAAGATGAATATGGGATGTACTCACTCATAATTGGTTTCTAGCCATAAATAAGGACCACGGAGTCTACAAGAGGTGAACCTAAAGAAGCTAAGTAAGAAGGTGAACCCAAGGAAAAACATATAGTTGTCCTCTTGGCTAAGGGAAGTAGACCAAATTTCCGGGGAGAAAATGGGATCTTGGGGATGGGGTGGGATGGGGGTAAAGGGAGATGGGGAGAGAAAAGGTAGAAGGGAAGGAGGGGGGACCTGGGAAACAGGAGAATTGGGATAAAGGAAAGGTGGATAGGGGAGCACGGAACCACAATTCTTAGTTAAGGGAGCCACTTTAGGGTGGGCAAGAGACTTGACCCTAGAGGGGCTCCCTAGTGCCCAAGCTGAGGTCCCCAGTTAGTTCCTTGGGCAGCTGAGGATTGGGAACCTGAAATGACCCTATCCTAGAGCAATAATGACGAATATCTTGCATATCATCATAGAATCTTCATCTGGTGATGGATAGAGATAGAGACAGAGACCCACACAGGAGCACTGGACTGAGCTCCCAAGGTCCCAAGGAGGAGCAGAAGGAGGGAGAACATGAGCAAAGAATACGGGACCACGAGGCGTGCACCCACCCACTGAGACAGTGGAGCTGATCTACGGGGAGCTCACCAAGGCCAGCTGGACTGTGACCGAAAAAGCATGGGATAAAACTGGACTCTCTGAACATGGCGAACAATGAGGGCTGATGAGACACCAAGGACAATGGCATGGGGTTTTGATCCTACTTAATGTGCTGGCTTTGTGGGAGCCTAGCCAGTTTGGATGTTCACCTTCCTAGATATGGACGGAGGGGGGAGGACCTAGGACTTACCACAGGGCAGGGAACCCGGACTGCTCTGTGGACTGGAGAGGGAGGGGGGGGGAGAGGAGTGGGGGGAGGGGGAGAAGGGTGGGAGGAGGGGGAGAAGGGTGGGAGGAGGGGGAGAAGGGTGGGAGGAGGGGAAGGGAAATGGGAGGCTGGGAGGAGGTGGAAACTTGTTTTTTTGTTTGTTTTTTTTCTTCTTTTCGCAATAAAAAAAAATTTAAAAAAAAAAAAGAAATAATTTTGTGAGGCTAATATGGTTCTCCAACAGATTGAACACAGGTCATCAGGCTTAGCAGCAATTAGCTTCACTAAGTCAATTCTCTGACTTTCATTTGTATTTCTGAGAAAGTGTAATCAAAAAGTGTTTAGTGGATAAATTAACCCATCCAGAAGCAAGTGGTAGCAATATATTATTTTCATTTGCAAATATGATTCTTGTTCAAATTGTCATATTTTCCTCTATCCTTGGAGGAAAATATATTTACAATCTGACAAGACAGTGCTTTAGTGATACAAAGTTTCTGGTAATCTTATTTGAGCATCCGTGAAAAGCCTCAGAGGAAAATGTGATCACCATATGAGGAAGCAAAAGTGTAGACCCTACAAAGTTGCCTTCTACTTTCCACATATCTGTCCTAGCCTAAAAATCTTACTGGACATATGAAAATGCTGTTTTGGATACACGGATGAGGTATTTACTATTTCTTATATTTCTTTTAAGCAAGCATTTTAGCATTAACGTTGTTAAAACATGAAGAGAAAACATGAGGTACTGGGAATTCATCATCTACCTCTGGATTGTACTCAGGAGGCTGAAACTAAGGACCATGAGTTCAAACACTTCCCTTACTAACTACTGACATCCCAGTTAGGCTGGATAACAAACATCACAAGAAACCCTGTCTCGAAAAAACCAAAAAAAAAAAAAATATGAAAAACAAAACCAGGAACATCAGTCCATGACCCTTTCACAGACAGATTTATTTGCAAATTATAATCACAAAGTGACACATTTGGTGATTGATATCCCATTTAATACATTGCAGCAGAAAAATAACTATCATTAAGGAGAAGCACAATGGAGGAAGAGCAAAGTCACAGAATAAATATAAGGACATCAAAACAAAATTTAGCAAGTGGATTTGCCATATATAGCATATTTTAATATCGACTTCAAATGTTGCAAAATAGAGACCACAATGTAGTTATTTCCACCATCAGTCTTGAGGGAACATGGTAGTAATTTACGTTCTTCGAGGTTAAAATGAAAAAGATTTTTTTTCTCTTTGAAACTGATGGCAACTATGATATCTAGAGTCTCTATCCAATCATTTACATGAATATGGTCTTTCTCTTGTATGAATTCTTCACTATTTCCTGATTTCAAGTTTATATAGAGAGGCTTTAAAAATGTATATGGCTAGAGACATGGCTGAACAGGGAAGAAAATTTCATTCCCAGAAACAAGGTCAGGTCTTTTACATCTTCCTATAATTCCTGCTACAAGATTCAAGGGTCTAACCTTCTTGGGAGCCAGAATGCACATTCACATACATACGCAAATACATACTAACATCGCATAATTAAAATTAAATAAAATCTTTAAACAAATTTTCACTCATGAAGGAATTTCTCTGATAAGTATTCATTCCTATCACACAGGTGTTGAGGGCATCTTACATACTTTGACTTCATCATGCATTGGTTCAGAACGCAAGCATGTAGGCTTGAAGTCAGAAAAATCAATCTCCAGTTGGCAACATCATTTGAGAAGATTCAGAACATGCTGCCCTCTTGGAGGAAATATGTCATTAGGGATATGCTTTCATAATTTATATCTAAAAATTATTTCCTATTCCCACACTCTGCTTCATGCTACAGGTGGAGGATGTGAGATCTTTGCCTCCTGCTTTAGCTGCCATGTCTGACACCTGTTGCTGTATCACTTCCATGGTATCCCTCTGGAATCAAGAGTCAAATTAAACTCTTTCATAAGTTGACATAAACATAATGTTTTATCACAACAACAGAAAAGGCACAAATATCCATAAACTTTTACACCTGAATGTTATTTCATGTCATTGAAGAGATGTATGCAATCTAAAAGAGTTATTATATCATTTAAATTCATAGGGCTTTTTCCATGAGTTTGCAGGTACAAACAAAATAAAGATAGGCATTATACTTCTTGAACAGATTAATGATATGGTCAGATTTTTTTTCTTCAGAATAAATACACTTATGAAACATAAATGTGTTGGCTAAAGATCTTACCAAATCCTTTATAGCTAAATTCTCTTCTGTATGGGCTTTTTTTTTTTTTTTAGGTCGTCAAAGATTATTTTGATAGGCACAGGCTTTAACAGAATGATGGCACACTGAAAGATTAAATCTTGTATAAAAGCTATAATGAGATGCAAAACCTTGACTACATTTATAGGAATTCTCTGTAGTATCATTTTTTTCCAATGATGCAAAGACTACAAAGACATATAAAGGCTTTACAACATTGATTACTTCATAGAGCTTTTCCTCCTATTTGTTTTCTTCTATGTATTTGGAAATGATTCTGTTGTGAAAAGACTTTCTCATATTGATTACATTTGTTGGGTTCTCTCTAGCATGTGTTCTTTTATGATAGTTAAGTTGACTCTGTTGTGTAAAGGCTTTACCACATTGTTTACATTCATAGGGTTTCTCTGCAGTATGTGTTCTTTTATGTACTATAAGACTACAGTTACTTGCAAAGGCTTTACCACATTGATTACATTCATAAGGTTTCTCTCCAGTATGCATTCTTTTATGTCTTTGGAGGTGATACTGTTGTGAAAAGGCTTTCTCACAATGATTACATTCATAGGGTTTCTCTCCAGTATGTGTTCTTCTATGCCTTAGAAGATGACTTTTCTGCGCAAAGCCTTTACCACACTGTTTGCACTCATAGGGTTTCTCTCCAGTATGTGTTCTTTTATGATTTTGGAGACTACAGTTAACTGCAAAGGCTTTCCCACAATGATTACATTCATAGGGCTTCTCTCCAGTATGGGTTCTTTGATGCAATAGAAGACTGCTTTGACATGCAAAGGCTTTCCCACATTGATTACATTCATAGGGTTTCTCTCCAGTATGTGTTCTTTTATGCCTTTGGAGATGATAATGTTGTGAAAAGGCTTTCCCACAATGATCACATTCATAGGGTTTTTTTCCAGTATGGGTTCTTTCATGTATTTTCAGGTGACTGTGACATGAAAAGGCTTTATCACATTGGTTGCATTCATAGGGCTTCTCTCCAGTATGTGTTATTGTATGCATTCGAAGATGACTGTGAAACGCAAAGGCTTTCCCACATTGATTACATCCATAGGGTTTCTTTCCAGTATGTGATCTGTTATGATTTTTGAGAATACTCTGATGTGTAAAGACTTTACCACATTGATTACATTCAAAGGGTTTCTCTCCATTACAGATTCTTTCATACCTTTGAAGATGATTATGATATGCAAAGGCTTTAACACATTGAGAAGCTTCAGGTTTATCTTCAGTATGGCTTCTTTTGAGCCTGCAATGAAAATTGGCATATGTAAAAGCTTTACCACATTCATTACACTGTTGACTATATCTGTATAAATTAATTTACAATTTGGTTTAATTATAAAAGGCAATCAGATCTTAAGCTTTTATCACTTTGTTTACACTCATGTTGATCCCCTTCATTAAGGATTGTTTTTCATTTTTGAATACACCTGTGATGTAAGAGCCTTTCTTACAGGACTCACGTTTAAAGAATCAGTTATTCGTAAAAGATTTTTCATGTAGTTGAAGAGAACTGGGAAAAGTCAGAGCTTTACCACACATTAGGTTCATAAATTTTCCTATAGTGTGATTCATACCATGTTTGTAAAGTTAACCAGGACAAATAAAATTATTTCCACATTTCTAGTATTCATAGGGCTTTTCTGCAGTGTGAGTTTATTAATGTATTTCCAATGAAGCTGGAAAAGCAATTACTTGTAAGCTTGAATCACATTCAACAACTATATTCAATATGGGGGACAGCTAGAAATCTTCTAATTGTTCTGAGAGGAAGAAGGATATGTCATTACAATCATTATTCCATGTTCATATGACTTGTCTCCATAGTGACATATTATATACCTATTAAATGGAGAAAAACAAATAAAGGGTGTCCATGTAGCATTAACACATTTGATTTTCTTTTTCTCCTACATACAGTATAGTAACTAAGGTTTCTCCACAACAACTGCCCCTTGGTTCTTGAATCTAACTACACCTCCTCTCATTAAACTTAACAGAGTCGCAACAAGAATATGAGTAACATAAGGTCTGCTATGGACTATATGCTTCTTAGACGGTTTTTCACATATACTTACCACCTATTCAACATGTAAATGTAGTAATAAGAGCGGCGGGGCTGCATCCCCAGCACCCCGGCCGCCTCGTTAGCTTATGCCCCGAAATAACAACACACAAACTTATTCTTTTAAACACCGCTTGGCCCATTTCTATCTAGCCTCTTCTCGGCTAATTCTCGCACCTGGACTAGCCCATTTCCAATCAGGTGTGTCGCACCGCTAGGTGCGCTTACCGGGAAGATTCTAGCCTACGTCCATCCTGGGTCGGAGCTTCATCGCATGTGTCTGTCTGGGAGAGGGGAGCATGGTATCCCTGCTCCTGAGAGCAGAGCTGTCGAGTCTGAGCTCACTTCCTCTTCATTCTGTTCTGTTTACTCCTCCTACCTATGTTTTAACCTATGAGGGCCAAGCAGTTTCTTTATTGCTTAACCAATGAAATCAACAGACTGATATATGACACTCCCACATCATGTAAACATTTTGTAGTGGAGTGGAATGAAACTAAATGGATTTGCAGTTCTACAGCATAGCTCTCATGAGGCTATGATTGAAATGGTGATATCTGTTAAGGCATTGTTTTCTTGTCTTCCTTCTGAAATGAATAGCTGGCAAACACAATTTACCTGCTTGACATTGATGTACATGGTTTTGAGAATTTAATAATCATCAGTGCCCTTTAAGCTGTGCTAATATACTACTGCTTTCTTCGAGACATCTTAAAATTTCTTCTGAGGCATATTTCTATTAGCTTGCACATGCAAATTACCTTCCATGTCTGGTTGAACTTTGACAATGTTCTTCAATATTATGATCTTCCCATTTGTAGCCTAAAATATAGTATAAGAAAATATATGTTATTTGAAATTGTGCAAAATTTAAATTATATTCAGTGAACTTGAAAACCACGCTTGTTTTTTTTTTCGTATCATCCTTCCACAGTCTCAATCATAATTACAGAAAACATCAATAACAAAAAACGAGTTGTCCCCTTATTTTAAAATATGAAGGAAAACTCACAGTCTTACCTATAGCAATGAGGTTCCTACAGGTCTCCAGCATCACATCATTGTAGAGACTCTTCTGGGAAGGATCCAGCAAAGCCCACTCTTCCCGGGTGAAGTCAACATGCACATCATCATAGGTCACTACATTCTAAAATATCCCATAGATGTGGACAAAGAAAATGATACTGAAAACACAGTAAATGTATACTTCTTTGAAAATAGAGTTATTTAATTCTCATGCTATCCACACGTATTCCATGACACAGAAACTCTATTGCAATCACCAAGTCAGTTTAGAAGAAAACTGAAGAGGAGGATCACCTTTGTCATTTTTGAACCCTTTGAATGAGATTATCACCTTGCTAGAGAAATGTGTATTAACAGACATAGAGAGACAAGAAAACAGATGAATAGTACTGAGTATGCATCAGAGAAATTGTATGAACAATTCCAACTACAAAAAAAAGTGTACTGGCTCATGCTTTTAATTGCAGCACTCAGAAAGCAGAGACAGATAGGTCTGCCTCTGAATAAAAAGCTATTCTCATTTATACAATCAATTCCAGCACAATCAGAAATACATATTAAGACCCTGTCTCCTCTGCAAAAATCAAACAAACAAAAGGATAAAAAGAACTCAGTGGTTTTGTCCTGAAATTCCCACAAAGAGTTATGCATTCACTCCAGTTCTGTACTCACCTTCCAGAAACATAAAGTACCTGTCTGAAGTTTAACAATAATAAGATATTAATGAAAGGAACTGCAGGTTTAAACAGATGAAGACCGGACCAATGTAAATGTTGATAATAAATAATCAACATAGAAGATGTGAGATGGCTCAGCAATAAAGAGTTCATATGGTCTTCCATATGGTGGGTTTAAAAGCCAGTGCTTACGTGGGGAATTACAACTATCCATTATCTAAGCTCAGAGGTTCTGAAGTCATCATTTGATAATTATGAGGACAAGATACCCAAGGGGTGCACATCCATGAATGCAAGTAAAAGACTCATTCATTTTAAAAAATTCAAAGTAAATGCAACAGGTAGAGAGACTGTCACACACCTGCAAATTCAATGACTCAGAAAGCCCAGGCAGCATTAGTGTCATGAATGATATCCTCTGCCTAATATCAAGATTGAAGATGGTGGTGGAGCACAGTACAACAGGACATACTCAACATGTACAAAAACCTACATTCCAGGCCCATCACCAAAAATATAAAAACAATACAAAACCCAGGATGTTGGCCCACCCTTAATCCCAGCATTTGGGAGACAAAGTCAGGTAGATCTCTAAGTCTGAGACCTTCTAGGTCTACAGAGCTACTTTCAGGACAGCGAGAGCTACACAGACATAACTAAGAAAATAAATACAGCATGCTACCAAAATGGTTAAGCCACTCAACAGCAATGGTTTCTACTGTATCTTATATAACTTAGGGACAAAGTCTATAATGCTGGTGATGTCATAAAAGAACAAGAAGGAAACTAGCTTGATCAGTTTCAACCACAACACAGTAGACACACACACAAAATAAAATAGGTTATGGTTAAGGGCACTCATCTCCAATCCCCAGTGAGTGATTTCATCCAGAAGGGTTCATCCTATTTAAGGTTCCACCAGCAAACCTAAAGAGCGCCACCAAGGAGAGACACATGTTCAAATACATCATCTGTCTAGAAGGTATTGAATTCAATCGACTACATTCAGACCCAAGTCACAATACGCTCATGGTCATCCATGAAGAAAATACAATTAGCCAATTCAATGATCCTCAGAGTCTACAAAAGCCTCTATGACATTCAAATTTTCAAAATGTCTTCTGAACTTTCAAGATAAGCTCTTGAATGTGACAGCTTGTAAAATCAGAAAACAAGTCATATCTTCCCAAAACACAACTGGAACTTTATCTCAGGTGTAACAGAACACAAGATAGGTCAAATGTATTGGGCCAGGAAAACATAGAGGAAAATTAAAGACATGAGGCTAAAATAGCAATGAATTTGTGGGGACATGAATTGTTACAGCAATAGAATACTCACCAGACTAACATTTGCCCAATCGGAGAAACAAACAATAAATTAACCTATGTTACTGGAAAAAATACTACAAGATATTATAAACAGTCACCGAACATTCAGGTTGTACAAGAACAGGGCACAACAGCTGCTGATCTTTCAAAGACACCAACAGTCCTAACTTTAAAATGGTTGACAGACAAACCTGTATGGGTTGCACAAAAGCCATTAACAAGAAAGAAACTGAAGACTTTAGAACACTGTTCTAAATAAATGGTCAGCAAATTGAAGAATCAACCAGCCCTTGGAATACTCCTATATTTGTTGTTTAACAGAAATCTGGAAAATGGTATCAATGGAAGATTTTCCCACAGGGACTATTAAATAGTGATCCCGTGCCAATATTTTATATGGCAGTCATTCGAAATAATATGCTAGCAATGTCCTGATTCTAGAGTTTTCCATTATATGAATGACATTTTACTATCTGATTCAAATGTAGAGATACTTTAGAAAGAATGTTTAAAGAAGTAAAGAAAATGTTGTCTTGTTGGGGATTACAAATTGCTCCTGAAAGATAAAAGAAATATCTACCAATTATTTAGGCTGTCATAGGTTTACAAAAAAAATTAGACTCCCAAAGTACAAACTAGACTGATTGCAGACTTTAAATGATTTTCAAACACTGCTAGGAGACATTTCAAATCTTCGGCCCACTATTTGGTTAAAATCTGAAGGACTGGTTAATGTAAATAAAATCTTAGATGGTCACAAGGATTTAAATAGTCCCAGGAATTTATCAGCTGAAGCTGAGAGAAAATAGAGTTTGACAGAAGAGAAACTATAGAAGGTACATGTGGAACATGTGGATCTGAATCTTAACTACGTTCTGGTCATATTACCCTCCAAATATTTCCCTACAGGAATTTTAATGCAGAGGTAGATAATATCTTAGAATGATTATTTTTACCACATAAACCAAGGAAAGCAATTGAAACCTTACATAGAAAAGATCTCAGATAATTCTAACAGAAAAATTGAGACTTTGTCAATTAGCAGAACAGACTAAGTAGAAACTATAGGACCTTTTATTTAATAAAGATGAAAC